CAGAGGACAGAGGAGGACAAATATAGAGAAAATGAAAAAGAAAGCAGAAGAGAGAGAGAGGAAGAAAGTGAAAATAAGGAAAGGAAGCACACAAAGAAATAGACACCGAGAAAATATAACAATGAGAAACACCGTAATGAGGGAAGAAGAAAAAAAAAGAAAGAGAGGATGATGATGAAGAAGACGCAAGAGTAGTAGTTGTGGCTGTTGACATTGTAGGATCTTGCAAATAAGTTGACAACTTAGTTACATTCAATCTTGTTAGCATAACTTTTGGTAGCAAATTAACCTCAGGAACTGTTGGAATGTATGGTATTGATGAAACCAATATTTTTGTGATGCTAGTTGTCAAAGTTGTGGCAGACCTTGTGGCTGCTGAGGTTATAGCTACCGTTGCTGCTGCTGCTGCTGTTGTGGCTGCGTTGGATGCTACAGAAACAGATTTTGACGATTTCACACATGTTGTCGATGTTTTTGTTGACGTCGTTGCTTTTGTTGATGTTTTGGGTTTGGTATTCTTCGATTTTTTGGTTTGCTCTGTTGTGAAAATGCTCCTGTAGGCCTGAGCTAGACTTTGTCTTGTTGCAAAAAGACTCTGTGTAGTTGATATTGTAGTGCCTAACGTTACTGTTGTTACTGTTGATGTCATCAATAATGTTGATGATGCCTTTGTAGCAGTTGTTGTTGCTGCTGTTGTTGTGGTTGTTGTTGTTGGAGCCGATGAAAATGCCAGTAATGGTGTTGTCTGCTCATGAGATGGACGACATCTCTTCTTTTTATTCTTCATCAAATCCTGTTTTTTGACTACTTCAACTGAATCCATACAGCGAGATGATGATAACATAGTGTCTATTGTTGTTGTTGCTGTTGTTGTTGATGTCATTTTTGTTCTGTCGCCAACATTTGTCACTACACTATCGTTACCATTTGTTGATGCCATTTTGCCATCATCTTTTGTTGATGTTTTGTCGTTGTCAGTGGAAAAATTTTTTGTTGATGTTTTGCTGTCAATAACGACTTTAGTTGACGTTTTAGCGTTGTTGTTTGACTTAAAATACTCATCCTCATTCGATAGTCTAGTTAGTTTTACATTCTTCAATAGTGAATGACCTGATACTTTTTCTTTCT